ATACCATGCCCAATGGGCTTCAAGGAGGCTGTCTGAGGCCTTACTAGGGATTAGAGTTCCTCTTTCAAGGAAATTCGGAGATTACAAGCTAGAATTGTAAAGTTTAGGATTTGGGATACAATTTGTGTGCAAAAATTAGAGGATTTGGAATTAGGATGAAAAAGTTATAGCCATTTGAAGTGAAGGTGTTTATTTAAGACATACTATTACTCTTTTGAGATTACGAGGAGTTTTACAGCAGCTTTTGAAGATCGGAAGGTGCGACTAGAACAGCAATTTTAAGGCCTACATCTTTCATAAAAGAATTATTGCTTTTGGAGTTTTTATAAAGGAGTTGTAAGGAGTTGAAGGCGGCGCTTCCAAATCAAAGGCAGTAAGTAAGCGGTTTTGTTTATAGTAATGGTTGGAGCCATAACTTAAGTATTCGGATGAATTTTTGGCACAAACTTTTGGAGAATGTAAAATTTTGTGTTAAAAAGCTATACATATAAATTTCGTGGCATTTGAACTTATATTTTGTGAGATATAAAGAAAATTGCACGCCAATGTATAAAGACAAGGGTTTGAAGTGAGTGTTAGGGTTTTCAAGATATCTCAAGATCTGCAATGAATTTGTGGTTGAAATTTGTTGTAGAAGTTAATAAGAATACATCAATATCTCATGTAAAATTTGAATTTGTTTGGACGGTCGGATTAGGAGATATGAGGTGTTGAAGTTCGGAAAAATCTCCACATAAGAATAAACAAGGTTTTAGAAGATTTTATCATATTTTGGAAGTTGTAGGTTACTTGAGGATTGTGTATTTGGTGTAATTACTCAAAAGAGAAAAATTATATATAAACTTAGGACTTCTCTTATTTTCAAGCTTGATTGAATAATTAGTAACAGCCAGAAGCCCAACGTTTTCTTGAGGCAAACTCTCTCTACCTCGACAACGGTCCTTATTGTAGCTGGATTAATTCGTTTTCTAACATGTTGTCTTCTATGACAGCCATACTCCTCATTTTGTAGTTGCGTTGTTTCTTTGGACAATGTTGAGCAGTGTGTTTTGATTCTCCAGAATATAAACATAATCCTTTTTGATGACAACGAGTCTTTTCTTGCTCAGTAAGAGGTTTGAAACGTATTGCATCAATTTGCATATCTTCTACTTCCGAATGTATGTGTTGAAGAGGTGCTGGTATTGCCATTGAATTATAGTAATGTTGAGGTCGACTTGTACGGTTCTCAGATCGAAATTCAAAAAGGTGATTGTTGCACTTCACAGCAAAATCAATTGCTTGACTCAATGTTTGAGGATCAGGGAAGTTGAACATTAATTTTTTTACCTCATATTGTAATCCATAGAAAAATTGGCTAATAAGTGCAGCATCATTTCACTTGATATCAGTTGCAAGTTGTCAAAATTATGAAGCATACAACGTTATTGATCGATTATCTTGTCGTAAAATACGGATCTTATTGGTTGCAATATGAATTGCATCATGTTCTCCATACATGAATCGAAACTCTACCAGAAAAGCCTCTAGATTATCTAATATTGGATCTCGTTGTTCAAGAAAAGATGAAAATTATAATAGTGCTAAACTTGAAAGAAGCATACTAATGAATCTAACATGAGATCCTGGAGTTGGATAGCTTTAGGGTTGAAGTTCAATCAGAAGTTGCACTTGATTGATAAATCCTCAAAATTTGGATCTGGTGCCATCAAACTTCTCGAGTAGGATAATTCTTAGTTCTCTAACACTAGAAGGGCGTTCCACCATCGGAGAAAAGACATGATTTGGTGTAGATGTTGAAGCAACTCCAATCATTTCTATATCTTCACTTCTTGCCAATCTTGTTGCTCCTTGTGGTAGTAAATTGAGTTGATGCATCGCAAGTATTAACTCCCTCAATTGCTCTTATATTTGTACCATTGCACTCTTCATTTCAACAAGTTCTGCCATGATAACACTTAGAAAAGAGAAGATGTCTAATATCGCTTAAGACAAATAGAAGAGAGGACTTGAGAACAAAGAAAATACTAAAGATAATATCAGTTTAGAAGAGGATAATTTGTAACTTCTAATATGCTTATATCTTATCAAGAAAAAGGGGTAATCCACTCTTACTCAAGATTATACAAAGCTTTGATATTGTAGGTGTACTCTTGTCAATCTGTCAAGGATAAGAACTCGATGAAAAAGCAATCAGACAAGTGAGCCTTCACTCAAAGAAAGGTAAAAAAATATAAATAAACAAATATGTATATTGAAAGAGAAACTGGAATGGCTATTGCCAAAAGACAAAAAACTAGAGACCCTTGAAACTAGAGTAGAAGCAAGAAAGGAGTTGACAAGAGTGAAGAAGGCTTCACTCCTGCCTCTATATATACTATCTAACTAGGAGCTACGTGGCGATGTTCTATAGGACCTCCAATAAGTGTTGACTTTGTAGGACACATGCCATGACTTACAAGACAAGTTTTTCTACGTGTGGGCCACATTCTTAGCTTGGTCTTCAAACTAACAACATGTGTGGCACATGGCTAACTTGTTGACTATGTTTCTAATCCAAAAAGTCAATTAAAGACACCTATAAAGTCAAAATAGCATCTATAAAGCTTCTAAGAAGCTTCTGTACCAAATACTATAGAATTAACTTACTTTTATTCACTTTTATTTACTTCTACATATTTATATATGTAATTACTAGCTTACATGAGTATGTCCGTGATACTTGTAAGCCAAGTACCAAGTTACAAGACAATTTTATAGCGACTTTTTAGAAATATAAAATTTTGTGGAAAATTTTCTATAGTTACATGAGTTACCTATTAATTTTAAATGTAGTTCGATCGAATCCATGTTTTAGAAGATTCTTTAATGTTTTTTAAAAATACATTATTGACCTACTAAATATTTATTTAGATTCATTTGGATTGCTATAAAATTTCAAAAATATATAATAAGATAATAATTTATATATAATAAAAAAAAAACCTTAAACAAGTAATAAGGTAAGAGGTATTTGTTACTATTACCTTAAAAACTATTTTTGATACTTAATTATATTTTTAGAAGAAGATACTATACTTTGACTTTTTTGGAAATAATTATGAAAGCTATAGTAAGAGAATTTATTGATCTACTTACATAGATATATGACATTATTGATGGCTTAAAGGACATAAGAATTAATATTTTGCAACACATGAATCAAAGTTTGTAAAAAAATACCATTTGATAGTTTTTAACTTTATCAATTTGTGAAGCCATTTGTAATCTCACTACTTCTTGTAGAACTTGTACTTAAAAGGAGAATAATCATTTTAGCATCTATGCTAATTAAATAAATAAAATCACTTGTTAAAAGAAAATGATAATTATTTTATATTTTATATTTATTAAATAAATAAAATCACTTATTAAAAGAAAATAATAATTATTTTATATTTTATATTTATTAAATAAATAAAATCACTTGTTAAAAGAAATTGATAATTATTGAGTCCAAAAAACTTCTAATATATATTTATGTTCAAAAGACTACTACAAGGGCATCTAATTTGGACTCTTAGCCTACACTATTTGTTGTCCTTAAGAAATTAGTCTTAGTTTAATATTCTCTATGTTTATAATATTTAAAATCAAAAATTTTGAACTTCGTCTTGTTTTAAAAATACACTTCTTGTCCATTTTTCTTTTCTTCTTCTTTATTTGTATATGAATATATTATATTTTGGCAACTTCTTATAAATTCATATTTGTGACATAGAATATAGTCTATAAAAATAAATGACACAATCTTTGAATACATTTTTTAAAAAAATTATTAATTTATCAAAATAAAAAAATATTTAATAATTTTAAAATATAATTTAATATACATTTTAATTTTTTAAAGAAATACGAAATTTTACTTTTTTTAAAGACATACATCAAATTAATTTCTAAAACTTTACTTTTAAAAAAAAATTATTTAATATAAATTCAAGTAGCTCTAAATAATACATTTCCATAGATAATTATCTAAAATCTGTATAATTAAATATTACGTATTAATCAATAAATTATTTAATACTAATTTTAGCATATTATATCTTAAAATATAGGAGTTCGTCTAAGAATACTTTTAAGCTGTGTTTTAAGATGCAAAACATCAAAAGAATTAAATAAATTTTTCTTGATATATTTTTTAAATAATGTCTTTGATTTCGACTAGCATAATTGAAGTTATTTTAATTAGTTTTGTGTAAAATTATATTATACTGGTAACTACTGCAAAACATTTTTATATACTATTACAAAACTCTTTGCAAAAAGACTTAAAATAAAATAGGAGAACATCAAGAAATGAGACGATTTTATTCTTAAATATAGGGTTTTAATATATAAATATATATATATATATATATATAAACACATTTATGTATTGATGTATTTTTTATCATATGGCATGTGCAAAAAAATAAAGTAAATCTCCCAAGTTTGAAGGTGAATACACTATTATGGAAATTGAAATAATAATTCCTGTAATATTCTTTTACAGAGATTTCAATTTCAATTAATAAAAAATCAATTTTATTTTTGCATTGTGAGCCTCATTTCTGGTTATATTTTTTGTTTTTTTTATTTTTTTAAAAATAAATTAAAAATAATTGATAATGGGTTATTTTAATTTATTTTAAAAGGGAAAAATGTATTTTACACTTTTTTTTCAATTGAAAAAACTAAATATTCATATAAATAACAGTATTTCATATTTGAGCATTGATATTTGTATTTTTAGCTTTCATCACATCATCATTAATCTTTCACTTTCGATTGTAAATATTTTCACTATTTATATAAAATAGTATACAATAAAAATGAAATAATATAAACATGGCATTTTACTTATGTACAGTTTCTGTCATCGTTCATCTATTCCCAGGTCCCTCCAGTTTGCATCCGTCTATTCATTCATTCATCCTCAGTTCAATTGTGGGTGCGACCTCGGTGCGAAGAGGCCCTGCTGGTTCGACCTTATGGGCAGAAGCGCTGAGCAATTCCGAAGAAGCTGTGAGACATGGAGGATCTTGGGGTTTAAGTTCCACGACCACCTACGATTCCTGCTTGACTTCTCCTGGAATTCTACCAAATTGCAGCTGACCAGTGTCTTTGTGATCCGCCCCAACAATGTCGTGGATTCTTGAATCGAAGTCCTGCTCTGTGAGGTTTGTGAATTCCGTTGCGATGTTTCTGAGTATTGGAGGAGGTTTTTTGTTGGCTGTTTTGGGAGTAATTGGAACATCATTGTGTTTCTACGATTTTGAGCTGTTCGCTCGCGTCTGTTCGCGCTCTGCAAGTTGGTTTTGAATCCAATTTGATACTTGCGATTAGAGGGTTTTTGGACGCGTAGATTGGTTTCTTTGAATCATGGATATTGGGTTTGCCAAGGGTTTTTCTTGGTTGCTATCCTCTTACATGGAGGGTTTTCCTAAGTGAAAATCTCCGATTAGTGTCAGGAACATTGGGTTGTTGCTGCTGCTGCTACTGCAAGTGTCGCTCGTCAATCCACAAGCATAATTGCGAATTTTCATGAACTTTTTTCAGATAATAGGAATCCAGCCAATGCTTAGTCGAGGCGCTAACAAGTCTTTCAAATATAACAGAATATGGGCAGAGGTGTCTTATCAAACGCTCTTATTCATCTGTATGACATAGATTATTATTTTATTTTATTCTTCGTAATGCCCTAATTCCTAGCATCCCGCATTGCGGACGAAGGAAGCATAGTCCTGTTTAAACTAACACTACTTAGGAACTTGGAGCGTCGTGTAATTCCTTCTACAAAGTCTTGGTTTTTAAAACGACATGGATGGTTTCGTTCGTGCATTCTCCTGGCATTGGATTTTAACAGGTTTACATCATGCGTAACAGAGGCATTTCCAGGGGATGCTAAGGGATGATGGTTGTTGTGATTAACGGTTCCTTTGCCAATCTTCATGAGTTTACACTGCAAAAAAACCGTGGTGAGTGAAGGCCACTTTGAGAAGGAAAGCGATGTGCAAAATGAGGATAAAGAAGGTCAGGCTATGGATCTAGAAAATGAAACGAGCGCAGGGGTTGAGGACATTGAAGTGGAAGTGAACACAGACGGAACAGATGATAAGGCTACGACTCAAGTTGATGAAGCGGGTCCAGAGGGAGAGGAGCGAAAAGAAGAGAAAGTCCCTAATGAGGAGACAGGCAATGAGGCCATGATTCTTGTCGATAGAGACGACGCAGAGGAAGCTGATGAAGAGGAATGGGAAGAGGAGTACGTAGTTCTTGACCTAGATGACATATTCCATGGGGTACCCGTTCCGAGCGATGCCTATACTCTTTCTGTAAGTTCGATTCTGGAAACGACAATTTTTTTCGAGTTTTAAACGTTGCGTCATGATGAACACCTTTACTCTTGTTTTTATGGTTTCTGTAAGGAGGCACCAGTAGGATTGTTCATGTTCGAAGTCTAATATATTTCCAAGCTGCTGATCGTTGGAACCAAATACTTGTGGAGGAGACCAGTGCACTCCATACTTTGTGTTTTCCTTCTTTTGGTGTAGACATTGCTTTACTCGTCCGTTGCTGCTGCAGGACTTGGATACACTGAATCCGACGCTGACTCTTGACAGTGGGCTCAAGATGGTATGTGCTACCTGCAATTATAATTGACCTTTGTCCTTTGTGCCCATGTGATGAGGCATTACTTTGATTGGATGGCTATGTATTGGATCAATTCTTTTAATTATGAGGGCTTTCTATATATGCAGACAGGTCACTACGTGGAGACAGTTGGCACTGTTGTTGTATACTCTGAGAAAGGTATGATTACAAATTACACTTGTTTTCTACGACGAGTGGGGTTCTTTGGATTACATATTATCATTTAAGAACATAGAAGTAGATTGCATCGCGCACGAGCCTTCTGGGAGTAATTCCTTTTCTGTCAGCCTCTTGATGATATTTGCTGCAAAGAAGATTGAATTCGTATGGTCGTCATAGTCTACTCCTGACAACGAGCAGTATGGCTAATTTTATAGAGAAAGAGATTTCAGAGGCCCCAGGTGAGTCGCAGGAAGTTCCCATATCTGAGGACCCAAATGCTGTGAAGAAGGAGAAGAAACCGCTCAAGCGGATTCGAGGTGTATGTAAATTAGAACGGAAACTGAAATTTTGTGCCGTGCCAATGGAAGACGCACCTTTGAACAATGGCCTGTCGATGGAGGTTGTACCACTTAAGAACACCGTACCAACAGAGGATGTAGCGGTTCAAAATGTTGTATTGGAGGAGGATGCACCACTCGACACTACCACGGAGGTGGTGGATGCAACTCCTAAAATTGCTGTGCCGACGGAAGATAGCGCACTTGAAAATATCACGCAGATTGTAGTTGGATCTTGCAAAATCGGTGGGCTGACGGAGGATACATCTCTTGAATGTTCCATGCCAGCGGATTCTAAGCAAATCTCATCGATAGGCGAAGCATCACTCGAAACTGATATGCAGGTGGAGGATGCATCGCCCCAACATATTGCGCCAGTGGACGATGCATCTCCAAAATGTGCCGTTGTGACAAAGGATGCATCTCCTGACACTGCCATGCCAATGGACTCTCACAATGCCGTGCCGGCTGTAGATGTGTCTTATGGAAATGATGTTTGATCTCATTCCTTTTCTAGACGTGAGTTCATTGATACACACTACAAGTTGACCACTAGAGTGTTCATTGATCGACGTGGTTCAACATCATTCAGTGAGATTTATGAGTACATTTAAATTTTTGGGTATCTGTGCAATCTGTGTCCTTGATCGGAGAATGTCCATCAACTCCATGATGGTCTGATCCGTCTTTTCCATCTTGATCTAGACTTTTTGCTTCAATTCACTTGAAGGACAAAAACGAGGGTGGTAAATGTTTTGTTTATGGGTACGAGCTGTAGGTACTCTGTGAAACACACAAATACGTGTTTGCAGTCATAGTACAAGCACTACAGCCACAACTCTCAACGAAATGAACCATTGATTGCAGTAAATTGTAACCGAGTGATTCATACCTATGATATTATTCAAAAAATTTGTAGCAGTAAACTCTCACATGGGTCTCAAGATGATCGGTCGGGGCACAAGTTAGCTGCGAAGAACCCTGACTCTTCTTGCGAAGGTGGTCTGTGATAAGTTCGCTGCAAGAAGCCACGCCAATGGATCGACGTGTGCAACCAACGGCTGCTTGTAACCTTGGTAGGCTATTACAGGAAATGGTCGACGTCCTTTCTGTTTGGCTCACCTTTAAAAATACAATTTCCTTTTTCTGAATACCATTCTATTGGACAATCCTGAAGTTGCAGCGGCATCTTCAAGAGTATCCTACTCTCTCTCTAAGTGCTATCTTCGTTCATTTGCACAGCTGTTCGCTTCACAAAGTCGGAATTGCGACGGCTGCTGTTGGGAGTTGCCCCTCGTATTTTGCGATTACCTATATTGAACTTGGGAAACAAGGCACGTTCGTTGGAGCGTCAATGGCCTCATCCAACACTGTGAGTTGTTCTTCCATTCTTTCCATCTGTTTTGGCACCTCTTTTGAAAGTACAGATGGCAGCCTTGAAACTTGATCTATGCATTAGAGAAATCTATTGCTGGGGCTGGTTTGCCATAAGCATTACATTTTCTGGACGCAATATTGTCACCTTCTTGTGTCATGGAATGCACCAGGGAGTCTTACAGTATTGTTTGTCATTTCTTGTATCCCTATCAGAGCCACGGCGCTCGACTCTCTGTGGTCAAGCTTATTCCTGCTACATTTTCCTGTTGTTTCTTTGGGATTCCAAATGGCTTGCTCCTTAGCCATCTTAATGCCCTGGCAGGCAGCACCTGCAGCCACAGGATCCAAGACTTGATTACTCAGCCACTTCAGATGTAAACGAGGAACTCACAACTGGCAGAATCCATCGTTCAAAGGCCCCATCAACGCCACCACAGTTTGCTTCCTTCACGTAGCTAATCACCCATTTGGATCTCATGTTTCTAGCTTGATCTGGGTCACAGAAGACGGCTAACGTTGACGACGATGCTAAGAATGACCATTCATCTGTGCAAGTCTATGCTTACCACCGTTTACACGAGTTTTACCGTGATAATCCTTATCAATCCCATGGCCACCCGAACAATCTACTCTTGAATGAAAGTATCCAACTCCTCAAGCCTTGCGGGCTCCATTTAGTTGTGACGATTGATTGTTTCCCTTGGTAGCAACCATCAACTCAGTAAAGCTAATGTATGTCTTCTTCGTTTCTTGAGGGGGCTTTGCAATTAGGCTCACGGCAGGTACCTCTGAAAGTAAAGTTTTCCTCTGTGTAGGCATGCTGAATGGAATTCTTCGCCTCTGTTCATCTTCTTCTCTATGGCTGGTGATTGTTGGGGCTTCTCTGTTTACCACTGAAGTGTACTCGTTTTCAAGATTCTCATGCAGTCTAACATCAGTGTTCTCCACAAATGTCTCGTATTCGGCTTCATAATCTGCATTCTTTTTGTGCCATTGCCCGTCTACTGCATGGTCACATTCTCTTGGCGTTTGCTTCTCCTCTTTGAATCTCCATAAGTGGTTTTCATCATCCCTCCTTCCACCAAAAATTTCCTCGGGCGCAAGCGCTTGTGCGGGATTTGGGTTTACCAGTGGAGTCGAGTCAAACAACGTTTTCCTCCGACATCGCCTCCCACCATCTTTTGTTGGACTCTGAGATCTAAACGTCGTCTTCTTCTTCTTTTTCTTCTTTTTCAAGTTCCTCGGATTGCTCGGGACACGGCTTATTCCTGGCACTCTCCAAAACGAAGGTGCTCTTCTCAACCCAGCTTTGACCAAATGGTGCGCTAGTCTAGAGTCCAATCCCCCAACTTCATCATAGTGAGCATGAGCGTCGGGAGAAGGAGAGGGAGTCCTCTTACTAGTCTTAATGCTTCTATCCAACCTCCTCTTCTGTCTGTTCTCATTGTGATCATTTCTGTCATGCTCTACATCTGTCTGACACTGTGAATATGTTTCGATATGTGCTGAATCCGATGAAACCCTGCCATCTTGCACCGACTTGGTCTTTGACGGCGGTATTGCTCCATTTCTCGCATGATAACACTCATGTTCACCACTATCCCGCAACCACGTCTCGGGGTCTACTTCTGCGAACTCTTTCTGAGACGACGATGACTTACCGTTCACTTCTGAAGCAAAATCAGCACATCCCAGTTCTCCACGTACACCAGCACCTCCGAACCGAAGTGTTTTCACCCAATCAAACCGTTTGCTGCCATTCGGGTAACCCTCCATATCTGCTCCATCAGTTCTCAAATGATCCTGCATATCATCTGAGTAAGAGCATTCCTCAACGACCTCCTCTGTGGGAATTTCTACTCTTTTCCTGTAAGGACTAGCAATTGTCCTGGACTTCTTGTTCGATAATTTTCCACATTCAACTCCTTCACTCAAGACTTTTTGTACCGGGCCTGTTTCAGTAGCACCATGCGGACATCCGTAGTAAGTTGAGCTGGCCCGCGATCCGGCTGTGCTGTTTCCTGACGCAGCTTTACAACGTGGGGAAATCAAACTGTGGAGATTAAATGAAACCGAGGCTCCAGAGTCATTTCCCCTGTTCGAGAGTTGCCTCGCGGTAGAGGTTCCTCTCTTGTTAGTACTTCCGCTGGTTCTATTTGCAAGCTTCCTATCCTCGGCGGGGCACCTGGAGTCTGGCTGCTGCCTGTGGGTATATCTGGAAGTAGACATTCCAGGTTGTGGATGAACAGCCTCTTCGCCTTTTACACATTGACCAGCGGTTGGAGCCCGGGGTTTGCAAGTCTTAACATCCCTCCGAGATCCTTGAGTGTTATCCAACAAGAGAGGGGTCTGCGGACAGCTAAGTACGGCGGGCTTAGAGTTGTTGTGGACAGGGCGCCTGGTTCCATACCTTGCCTGCAAATTCGCCAGCTTTTGACTCAGGACCAGAATTTCATGGGCGATTTGCTCCTCAAGCTGACGTTGTGTGTTCATATCCAGATCAGTTACGAAGCTGGACGTTTGATTGTTGCAATGAGCTGGAGGGTAAACTGGGTCTGGCATCTCGGGCAGGTGAGGTTCAGCCTCCAACTTGTCTTGGTTTTGTTTTGGCTGGCTGGTGTGATCCTTCTTACTTGTCTCTGACGTATAATTTACTCCCACTGAATGGAACTTTGGGGGCTGACTCACACACATTGCAGGAACACCTGGAAAGATTCTGCTGTTGTGAACCCATGGAGCTGGACACATCAACATATCATCTCCAGGGATGTAATGCGTTCCAAATGTATGCCCGTCGCCTGTTCCTGATGGGATGACTACACTACCGCGCACGGGTGATCGCAGATGAACATCTAAACCAGGCTGCTTAATGGCTTGTGCGTCATACATAACTGGTGGCTGCACTCCGGCTTCAAAGTCCATCCTCTGGCAACAGGCCGGTGGTTCAATCCTACTCGGGTAGCACTTCAATTGACCCAGTGACGCACGCTCTACAAAATAGCGAACATCCCTGACCCACATCCATATTCCTTCGTTTGTTCAATCAACTTAGGAGACAATTATCATTTCAAACCAACTTGAAATTGGTTACTGATTCGAAAGCTAGGATTATTGCGGATCATGGAATGTCACCTCGGAACGCCGCGCCGGAAGTTGCAGAGGGTCGGGAATCTGGTGCCCACACACGCATGGCATCTACTCACAGCTTGGTTGTTCATGGGCAATGTGGCGAGGCAACTCCTGCAAGCGTTATTCGACTCCATCCAGCTGGAATTTGAGGCATAAGAGAAACTACAGCCATCACTTCGACCAGGTAAGCCGTGTTCAAAGCCGCTTCTTGCCTGCCCGCTGCTGGAATCTTTCACGCAGCAGCTCTCTTCATTTGAAGGAAGGTTGCCTATAGATCCACTTGCAGGGGTCAGTTTCGACTGAATAAGGTTCAGTATGGCAGTGTGGCGTGATTTCTAAGCACAATCGTGAGAACAGTACTAACTTGAATCATCTCCACCAGTAGATGGACCAGATCTAGTCTCTTTCTGTGGAACTTCTGCAGGGTCCTTTGGCCATCTCTCTCCGGGAGGTTGAAGAGCTTGGTGGAGAACTGGGACAGTTGGTGTGACTTTGACGTTCTGAGGACATGCCTGTGAATCTGGATGTTTGCAATTTTGGGCGTGATTGCTCTGCCTTGTGTCTGTGCAAGCTGTAGCATTGTTCCAGGCCGCCCGGTGCGTCTCATGTTGGAACTTTTCTTCCATCCCTGTGTCCTTTACAGGCTCTGCCAATCCATCAATATCCAATATTAAATGGAAACCCGGTGGGCTTTACAGATAAATCTGAAAATAACAAGTTAATGCCCGCGAAATTTATTTTCAAGGAGACTCGTACCACAGCGATGGACGGTGGACTCCGCTGAAGTGGATGCCGTTTGCTTTACACAATCTGACAATTTAACTACTATTTGTTTCACACCAATACTGGGCGCTTGCTGCAAAAGTCGCGCAGACTCCACGCATCCATCCTGGCATCAGTCGCAGATGTTGAGTGCATTCCTCAAAGGAATGCAGAGGTACGTTCTTTTGGATGAGTTCTAGACCAGTACTCCATGAAGAAGGGTAGGAAAATAATCAGCCTAAACTAGAGAATGATATCTAGTAATAGCAAGAGAAATAGGTTATTCTCAAGCTGAAGAGTACCAGGGGTTGCTGGCTGGCAGACACTACATCAATGTCACAACGCTTCCCGAGCGCATGCTGTAGCTGCGTTTCAAACGTCGAGGATTCCTGGTGAATATGGTCTGCGCCGCTGACAGGTCTTTTCCGACCAGTGAGACTCGACGAATCCATGTTGCTTCCAGGAGTTTCTTTTGACAGAAAATCGTGTGGAGAGGGAATTGTGAAGGATTCATAACTGGGTACTGAAGATGCCCCAGCATTCCAATTGACTGCCATCAACTGTTTGATTCCTATCATTTTCTTTCGCCGTCTTAGGCGTCGCATTTTGGTGCAGCCCAAATGCTGGGACACGGCCTCATATCTTTCACCCCACCACCATCCTCCACTGCCCGAGACTAATTTTGTACGAGTTGTCCTATCGCTCTACATCTGCATCGAACGATTAATCTTCACAGCAGATCGTGCGGCGGCTCTTCGATTTCGTTCAAGGCCATTTTCCTCTAGCATTGGATTCTACAAGGAATTCAGGCCAGTTCTCCCTATGCACGCCAAAAAATTTCAATGAATCAGTTTTCGCAGCGGAGATGACTCTGCTGCCCGACGCGTTCCAATCCAGTGCATGTCTGAAGATTCGGCATCAAGGTGTGAGCTCGAAAGATTCCAGGTTGGGGCATGAAATCAATCTGAGCCCACAGTGATTGAGAAAGACCTCATTGCTATGGAAAACGTCTTACAACGCTGATACCGGAGGGCATTCGTTATTGTTCCTCCCAATTGAATGTGACTCCGAGGATGAAGGCAAAACTCAACGGATTCAAATGTAACCACAGAAAACGAACACGAAACGCAGATGGAGATCCGCAACAAACTGCCAGAGGGGGTCCGAAAAGTTGTTAGACAGCGAAAGGAGAGAGAGAGAAGATACAGCAGAGTAACGTCGGCGGTTGCTTCGTGAAACCGTCCATCCTCTCCTCCTCCTACTATCACTAAGATCCAGAGTACTTCCCAATAAAACTATCTTCTGTTCGAACAAGCAAACCTCTCTCGATCCAATTGACAGCGGCTATTGATCTTAATTTCATGTTCTCATGCGATGTTCTCACACGGAAACTGATGTACAAGTGGCAAGACCCACTTTGAGTTCCAACCCTGGGTTCCAGCAACCCACCTGCGCAACGCCGCATGATTTAGCTGAGATGCATGACATTGCATTCCTCATACATTCGCAAGCTACTTAAGGAACCGGCGGTTCTAGTCCCGGAATAGTTCGCTGTGAATCTGTAGATTGGTCAGTTAGGGAGTTGGCCGTCAGGCGAGGTGGCAGACGAAGTGACTAATTGAACTTTACGCGACGGATCTCCGCGAAGTTCCACTATCTCCATGCATCTTCATGCAAATCAGTCGAATTGTGAGTCAAGACTCATTATGAAAGAAACATTATGGACATTGGACGTTTGAGTAGAGTTTGTCCAGGGGTCCATGCTCAATTGTACTTCTTAGAATTCGACGCAACCAGGCATCTTGTGTATCTGCACAACTTTCTGTCCCTTGGCTCTCGTTGGTTTTAACGACTAATCTACGGGCATTCCAGATGAAAGAGATCACCTAAAGAAATGCCTGGCATGCTTCAAAATCTTTCAACTGAAAGAAGAGGGTCCTCGCATCATACAGCCATATGAAAAGTACTTGTTGCAGAACGCGCGCCACCACCGAAGGCAGTGTAGCATTAGGATAACGTCTGCAATAGAATTCGCCTAATCCAACTGTGGAGAAGGAAATTGGATCAGGAAACTCCGAACTTCGGCAATTACATTTTTCTTGGAGATTGCAGCCGAATCGATTAAGGGACTCTAGCCTTCGATTCACACATGCAATGGAACATTCTCTCACCGCGTTGTCCCACTGCTGCCTTCAATCTTGAAAGTTGTGGATCCGTCGTCGTCTTCGTGGCACATCCAGATGCGTGACGTCGCGGTTGTCTACATTGCAGTTGCTAACCGCAACAACGGAAACCCTAATTTGAATTCTGTATTGATGCCCTCAAATGATGGGGCATTCTATTCTGTTTGTTGGAGAGTAGCATGAAAGGGGATGTTAGGTTAATGTGCATTTTTATTTACAACAAATCACTTCATCAATTAAAATATTTAAATAACATATGATTTCTTATTTTGTATCTAAATAATTTTTAAAATATTGTCATTTAATATTTTAAAAATTTATGTTGTCCTTTCATATATCTTGCCTTATATTGTGTCAAAAACATGTGTGTCCAATGGCACACATTTTTGTTAGTATTTGCATATAAGAATATGGGATATTTAAGTATTTTTAACAAACACATCAATTTGATTGACTTCTTTTGCTATAAATACTAAAAATTAATTTCTGAATACATTAATAGAAAATTTTTCTAATTATATTTTTTGATGAAAAATTGAATCTTCTATCAAGTATGTTATATATTTTTCAAACATTAATTGTAAAGAAATAGATATAATAATTATTATTATTATTACTATCATAGATAGAGCTAATAAAACAATTATGAATTATGATTTATTTTTATAATTAGTTATAATTTTAAAACATTACAACACAAGTTTAAAGATATACTTTCTTGTCCTATACACTACTATTTAGCAAGTTGTTTTTTTAACATTAAATCTAAAAGACTCTCCAAATCTAAATTTTAATTGTAATAGTACTGATATTATTGTTAAAAAATTAATTTTTAAATAATATTAATTTTTTTCTAAAATAATATTTTATGGTTTTTCATAAAAATAATTACAATATTTAATCTAAAAATTTAAATTATAATCAAAATTAAAAATACTTTTAATTGTTATGTATTTTTTTTAAAAAAAACTAAAAATTGATAAATACATTGAATATATATATTATGCTTATAAGTTTCATTAGCCATCTTATGAAAATATTTTGGAATTAGTAGTATGTAGTAACAATTATTATCTTTCCTGTGCTAATATTAAACTTTTAAAATATTATATTTTTATGTATTTTTTCACAAGCAATAGATTATGTTAATGTCTTGTTCATCACAAATCACTATATTATACAAAATAATATTGTTCACTATAATTTTTCCTCATATTCAAATCCTATTGTTAATATAAATTCTTTATAATTTTCTATTGTGTAGCAACATCCTAAAAGTCTATTCTTTATCTTTTTGTGATATCTTTTCTTCTTTTATTTTTTTTACTTCAGTATAGAATGTTTAATTAAGCTATAAAAAATAAGTCTATAATTAATGGACATCATATGTAAAAAAATATTATTATTATATCACAAATATTTTGTAACTACAATTAACACATTGTTATTTTTTTTCTTATAAGAAATTGGTCATAAAAAATAATTAATTAAGAATATTAACAATAAAGGATGCATGTTAAATTCATGAACTTTGGTGTGCCTTGATTTCAATTATTGTACTACAAATCTTATTCTTCTACCCTTGTTATGCTAAAGGAAAACATTACCACATCCAATCTTTAAAATCTAAACTAACAAACATATCTAAGAATTCAAATACATGATTTATGCCCATTTATTTTTAAATATTTTCATGAGAGAGCCTCCACAATTAATAAACATATACACATTATCATAAAAAATTACTTTGTGACTTTAATAACCATGTTTTCCTCTACTTTTAATATGTTTACAAGTAGCATCAACAAACAACATGTAAAATTAATATTCTAATAAAAAATCTGCATTTTTATCCTATCCAATGCATCATGTTTTTACTTAAACTAAAATTTATGTTCACAAACATTCTACACAACATGTATGAAAAGTTCATTCTACATACAAAATTGGCAACTAAACCTCTATACAATGAACATTAGTGACTCCTCAAAATAATTCATCACCAAACACTTGTGGCAAAGCTGCTAGTTGCAATGCATATTCGCTTTCCTAATCTACTTCCTCCTATATAAGAAGAATGCATTGATGAAGAGGTCTTTTTTTATCAACCCTTTCCTACATAAAAGAGTTCTTGAGCTCAACTTTGAAGTTATTCACCTCTCTTAGCAAGTATTCTTCCAACCTTGCCAACGCTTTATCTTCTAATCCTACAAGAATACTTCTCTCATTTCACTGTAAACATCAAACCTGTAGAGAAAGCTTGAAAAAGAGCTTCTGAGGAAAATAAGCCCTGGAGTGTGGGAAGAAACACTCCAAGTGTCACGAGCAACTTTGGAGAAGCACACATGGCAAAGATTATGGAGGTGGCGCGTTAAGACATTTGCCACTGCAAACTCATGGGCTCACCATCTGTTGTTCAACCTGGCCTTAGAGAGCCAAAATTGATAGGGCACGTTAGGGATACCCTTCATAAGTTGCAAATGTCCATCATTAATGCTAGGCATCTGCTGACATGTACCCAATCCACTGCTTGCAAAGTTGGCCGAGCTCAAATTTTGCAATAAAGATCTTATTTTGGTCATTCCAGCTTCGGAACGAAGGAATGGCTAAGTACGTCGGTGGTCATTTCTTGAAGTAGGAAGATAGAAAGTACCCAGTATATCGGAATTGATTTCATCACCATTCGCCCTGTATTGCATCTGATAGGATCTGCTTAGTAGAGGTGGTCTTGTTAGATTTTTAAAAAATCCTGTAATTAATAAGCGTCATTGCGTAACTTCCAGGGGACTGCGAGGCTACATTACGATGATATGGAGTGGGAAACACTTATCACTATAACGGAGGATAATAAGAGATTGAAGTTGCAACAAAATTGATACAAAAGCTTCAGATGATGCTCGGGAGCATGAATGGCTGCAGTCTTCACTGAGGCCAACCCAGAACCATGCCGTAGAACAAATGGCATCTTCCACGACTTGTTCTGCTTACCAGACCAACTAGCGTGCAAATGCACGAAATAAATCAACGAGAACCTTGACCCCTTCTATATCCCAACACTAATAATCTCTACGATTACAATCAGCAGCGGCGGATCTATTCCGGCTATTCTAAGGCCAAAAAGTCGTGAACCGTTCATGGCTGCTATCGTATGGCCCTCTTAATCTCGAGGGTATCAATTTATCTACTCTGAATGGAATAAGCTTGTAATTGCTTGTAACAGGAAGCAGATATATGCAAACTCTAAACTGATGCGCACGATCTCAGAAGACTCAAGGATCCATAAATCTGAGAAAGAGTGCAGTAATAGCTCTATTAGAGGGGATGAGAGGCAATAACCTCTGAATGAATGAGCTGTAGCAAAAGTGGACGAGAGTGGAGCAGTTGGAGCTAATTTACTTCTGTGGAGCATCCTTCTCATCAGACGCATCAGCAGGAGATCTATCTCCGAGAAGCAAGCCTTTCTCCTCGTCCGTATCAGTGCTTGGACTGGCTGCAACAACTGCCGGAGCCGGAGCCGGAGCCTTCGTAGTAGACTGCTGGTACAGAACACCACCAACGATGGTGATAAGGAGCGATCCGAGCCCCAAATTGGAAGCATGTTTGTCCCATAACATGACGTTGACGATGACAGTAAGGAGCTTGTTCACAACACCCGTGACCGTGAAAGCTGTGGCGGAGATAGCCTTGCGTGCCGAAAATCCGAAGAAGCTGATCGCCACACCGAAGAGGCAGCTCAAACCTACGGCAAAGATGCTTACAAAGCCATTTTCGAAAGCAGGTGCTCCTACCATAAGCATTTTGTACTCACCCATGAGAACCCAAAAGATTGGAGACAGCAGAAGGGAAATTAAGTTATTATAAAAGACAAAACCCCAGGTGTTGAGGTCGATATCTGTGACCATCTTCTTAACGTAGACCATCTCCGTGCAAATCACCACGAGGTATGCAAACGCCCAGGAGTATGCGGTAACGTTAAATTGGGAATCCGTGGCAACGTATCCCACAGCACCTCCAAAGATAACTAAGAGCGAGGCGAATGTCCATTTGGAAGGAAAGGGTTGCTTTCGGAACACCGTGTCGGCAATGGCGACCAGCAACGGCGTCGTAGAACGGAACACGATGAATGTGTCAACGTTTGCGTGTTTGAGAAGATTTGTGTTGGCAAAGATGGCCAGGTAGAAAACGAGGGCGGCAGGGAAGAATTTTTTGGCCGTGTTCCAGACAAATTTGTTGTGCGAGATCACGCCGATCCGCCCCGCCACGACCACACCAACCACTGATGTAAAGTATTGCAGGGCTGTGAGAAGCGCAGGATAAGGAAAATACGTGACAGCGTATTTGTTAATCACGGAGAGCAAGCTGGAGCAGATCGCATAGCCGAGCACCACAGTCACGGTTGCCGGGCTAACACCTGCTATCATCCCCGACGGTTTCGACATTTTGGATAAAAACTTACACTATTCTCCCACAATGCAACCCTCGGCACAGAACAACGAAAAGAACTTCAGCAATTGTCTCCACGATTTCACAAAATCATGAGACCCCAAGATGCGAAGCTTAATACTTGAACATTGTGATCAGGATCGGGTCGCATTCTCGACCCGTGCACCATCCATTCGCAACCAAGAACGTCCTTCTCCCTCCTCTGCCTCGAACTGCAACAACGAAATGACGCCAAGGCTTCTCTGCACTCCAGTCTTCAGCAGATAAACCCACCTTCTCCTTCCTCTACTTCGTCTTCACCAACACCTCTGCTCACACAGCAGCGATCCAAATTCTGTTTACAAACACAAACAAAGAAAAACAAAACAAAAGGAACCCAAACACAGCGATCCCAACACGATTCAGCTGTTTAAAAAGTTGCCCTAATCTCAAGTAATGGAGAGATTCCTACGCTGCACGATCAAGCCCCACCACAACTTAAGAAGGATGGCCACAACAAACACTGCAAGTACACGATCGAAACAGCAACACGATGTTCTCACCTTGGCAAAATTACCCAAAACTGCACGAGATTGAGTAACTCCTGCCCGAAATCATAACACGGCCGCTGGGATCATACACACGCGCACAAGGGCAGAAAGGGAAATCGTGTCTCACGAGTAGATCTGCGGAATTTGTGAGGCGTTCCGCACAATTTCCGGCTGCCGGGTCCGGAGAAGGGAGCCCAGTTCCAAGCTTGTCAAGTCCCAATAAGCCAAAACCCCGCGCATTTCCGACACTGTTCCCGGTCCGATGGGAACAGGGGAACGCGGTGTTCAATGTCGTTTAAACCGCGCCGCTGTTTAAGGGGGGATCGTGGATGATTGGTAAAGTTCATCGTAGTAGGACCTCTTAAGAGCTTGTTTAGGGGTCTTTAACTCGTGTTCATATTGCGCACATGGTCTTCGGAGGTCTGAAATCAAAAAATATATTGAATTCTCAAAAGCTATCAAATTCACGAGGGATTTCTCTTTTACTGGAGAAAACTACATTAGCAAATTCTTGTCATCAAAGTGGGTTTTACATTTTAGGGCAAACAAAAGGATATGCGTATTTTTGTAACATCATATTTAGGATTTTGGGTTGAATACTGTTTTTGTGACTTTTTAGTGAATTAATTGTTATTGTTTGAGAAATGTGAGTTTAGGGTATATTCTGTAACGTAGGGTCCTGAAATTCATTTGGGAACCGTGTCGTCATGTGTACAACTTACTTTTGGCAAGTCTCGAGTAGTTGTAATTTCTTTTTATTTTGTTGTTGGAATATTTGGAGTCAAAGTTCAGTTGCAATTGAAACTTACATCAATTTTTAAAGCTATTGCCAAAAATATTTTTAGATGATTTATGTGCAAAATGGAATGGTTGGGGTTGTGCTTACTTTCAAAACCGACATTTCATTATAATTATATATAAATATATATATATATAAATATATATATATATATAAATATATATATATATATATATACATACATATACACACAAACTTCTGAATATATATATATTATTTGATTACTATGCTTAAAAGATCAGATTGAAAAACATAATATAACAGAACACAGTAGCTAAATATTTGGCTATAGATATTTGATGACAATGTTGATTGCAATTAACTATCACAATGAACAAATTTGGACGTTTCTAATCAAATAATTTTTTTAATGATACTTATCTTAGAGTACAGTACAACACATATATATATATATATATATAGACATATATACATACAAAAGTTGTGATATAAGATGAGTACATTGCTGTGAAGGATACATGTCTTCAGAATAATAGTTTAAATTATTGAAATCTGACTGAAATTTCTTACAATCAAAAATATTGTGTGGTTATATAAAGATATAAACAAAGTTGCATCTTTCCTAGGTAATGACATTTTATAAATTAAAATAGCTTGTGAATAATCAAGTATTAAAAGGATATTGTGTTATTTTTATTAGATTATTTAATTTTAAAAAATGAATGATAATTGTAGCAATAATTTCATTAATGAAATAAAAGACAAGACAATTATAGCAAAGAATCAAAATTTTAGTATATATTGGAGAAAAACTAAAAAAAACTAAAAATATCAAAATTTTCAATTACACTGTTATGCTTTTTTGAAGTCACAAATGCATTCATTACTTTTCAATATGTATAAATTTAAGATTATTTCTTATGATATTATATTTAATTAAATGGCTAATATTCTTATGTAATAAAAAAATTATAAATAAATATCTTTAAAATTGGATATTTCTCATATTAAAATAATAAAATATTGGCTTGTGCTATGAACATCCAACAAGAAAATTTTAAGAATATATATATAGAATATTTTTTTAAATACCAAAAGGTTCAAGAAGATTCTAAAAAGATTTCAAAAGGCTCTCAATATATTTCAAAGAAAGAACAAAAGAATAGCCAAGATTATTACCATTTGCTTTATAGGCTGATAGGTTTATCCATGGTTTAGTAACTGAATATATCCTAGTAGAATTGATACAAGGACAAAAGCCTATTATGCCAATTAAAGAAAAAATATTGACTTGGAGTGTTTTAGCTTGGCAAAACAACATGTCTAAGGAAGAACTTCTTACACTTTGAATTCAACAACTGATGAGACTTGAAAATATAGAAAAAGAAATTGTGAAGTTATAAGAGGCATGCTTGAAAAACAAGGACAAATTTGATAAGCAACACTGGTTAAAGCTACAAGAAATTCATGAAGGTGATTGAGTACTTATTTATAATAGCAGTTTGAATAACCAACACAATACCTTGGAATTTTTTTCAAAGCATTGATTTGGACCTTATGTGGTTGTAAATATTTTAGATAATACTACATATGTGTTAAGGAAGTTAGATAGAATACACCTTAAGATTTCAATTGTAAGAAAATATATAATTTTTTTAAAGCAATGGAATCAACATATAATAGGTGAAGATATTGGAGAAGATATTTATTTCTTTACAAATATAGAAGAAGACATGGATCACGAAAAAAAATAATGTTGAAGAGATAGTACAACATTGACCACAACTTTGATTCTTCTTGGTGTATATCGGAAGATGCATAGGTTTGGAAGGAGTAGATGTTATGTTGTGGTTTGGCTACTATAAAAAAAAAATAATGTACATAAATATTTAATGTATAATTTATTATACAATGTGGTAAGAGCCACATTATTAGATTTTAGTTAGTCACATAATATGGTTAAATTACTACTTTGAAGTGGTCAATTTAAAATGGCTGTTATTAAAATTAATTATATGTTGATAATAGTTTATATATTTAGAGCCATCTTTATTAGACATTGGTGATTCTTGAAATCTTATTTTGTTTTTTTATATGGTGCTTAGAACATATATTATGTAGATTTTATAAGAAAAAGAGATGGAGAGGGATTTTGGTAGCAAAAAGAGTAGTTGGAATATTTATATGGATGAATGGAGATGGATGATAAAAATCTCTATTCTTATTGGCCAAAATTCATATCCAATGGACTTCAAGGAGGCTCACTGAAGCCTTATTAGGAATTAGGATTATTCTTTTGAAGAAATTTGAATTTAAAAGGCTTAGGTCAATGAATTTAGATTTTTGGCTATAATTTTAGTATAAATTTTGGATGATTTGGAATTTTTATGAAAGAGATATAGGCACTCAAAGTTAAGGTGTTGATTTTGTACCTATTGTCACTCTTTTGGATATAATGCATGTGTACGGAGTGAAATGAAGGATTAACAATTGAGGTTGGAAAAAACACTTCTTTGACTATATTTTTTATATACTGCTTGATGAATTCTAAGTTGGAATGAAGGAATTATAGAAATTTGAAGTTAGCTTTTACAATCTAAGGGCAATGAGTGACCTAATTTATTAGTGGTTGTATTTTGAGGTATATCTTAAGTAATTTGATAAAATTTGGTTAATTTTTTTTAAGAATATGTGTTATCATATTAATAAATTTTACACATAAAGTTTTTTGGTATTTAGAATTTGAATTTTTGAGATATAGAGAAAATAGTATTCAAGTGCTTATAAATTAGGATTTAAAGTACTTGCTATGATTTCTAAGATGCCAGACAATCTGTTATAGATTTATGATTTTATTATTATTATTATTATTATTATTATTATTTTAAAAATTTTATAAAGCTTAAAGATGAATTCTATATTATCTAGAAATTTTAAAAAAAATAAATGGTTGGATCAAGAGATATGAATTTTTAAATTTTAGGAAAAAAAATTCTTTACAAGAGAAAAATGTTTTGAAAGGATTTTGCTACAATTTGGACATTTTATACAAAAATAAAGGAGTTTTTGGGAGAAAAGATTATATATATATATTAAAAATAGAGATATGGAACTATGGAAAATTTATGCTATAAAGATGGACTTTTATAAGAGAATTATAGATTTTCTTTGAGCTTATGAAAAATCAAACTTATTAGCAAATAATTAGTTATGATTTGGTATAATAAAGGATGTTAGGGCATTTCTAGATGCCTTAAAAAGACTTATGTATAAAGATTCTTAAATATAAAATTATTTTATTATTAAATTATTTTTTGATACTATTATATTTCTTTAGCTTTTATAATAAGAATATATCATTTATTGAAACTTATCTAATAAATTAAATCTAAACTCTCTACAACTAGGTATTGGGTGTATTTTTAGATAGAAAATCATGCCATACAACATCGTATAATATATTCATGACACTTTATTAAGGCTATCCTCTTATCAATACTAGAGCTTTATCATTATTGATAGAAAGTCGATTACCTCTCTTCTTAAAGGCATTTAAGCACTTTAGAGATTATAGAGTATCCTCCTCTAAATTGATATTATTTAGAAATTCCATTTTTATTTTAGGATAGCTGGAGGTGGAGATGTTAGAATGGTTGAGTTTCTTGAGTCTAAATAAGATTTTATTATGAACACACTAAATATTTTATTTCATAGAATTGGTAAAATTGAAGGATTTTTTGTAAGATTTTATGGTGATACAAGACTTGGGGTAGTTTAGCCTATAATGCAAACATTTTCTTAAGCTTTTATATTTAAGGAGGTAGTAGCACTTATACCTCAATAAGAAAATTTACCTATTTAAAAACATAAAGAGCTTTGGATTAGTCTTTGAAAAAAGTTTGATGGCACATGTTCTAAATTTCAAAGATTAATTAATCAAGTTCAATTGTTAACTTTTCTACAATCTGATCATTATCTAATAGAGGAGTTACAAGTTGGTTTAGTTAGAACCTTATTTAAAAGATAAGCCTTATCTTAATTTGCTCATTTATTTGACAGAGATCTCCAATCTTAAACAATTTTGAAGCTTTTTTAGAAGCATTTGTAAAGGTATTTGGAGAATATGATAAGGTTGGATGGATAACATCAAATATTCATTCATTATATTATCATGTAATAATATGGCCATTAGATAAAAGAAGAAGAGAATTATTTTATTATAAAAGAGCTTAATTAAAAATATACAATAAAAAAACATAGATAAATGATAAGTAGGTAATATAATCTATTAGTATTAGAATTGCCTTTAATAAAAATAGATTCTATTTATTTTGTAGAGCCATAAATAAAGAAACATAAAATAGATTAAAAAAATAAAGCATATAAATATATAAAGAGGAAAATTAGGAGTTGATATTAGCAAAAAATATTTCAAAAAGATAAGAAT